TAAAACGTTTTTCATGATATCGCCTACATTTTATCAGTTGACACATTTTTGATATCTCCTCCAGAATTTGAGATAATTGAGCTCAATGTTTTAGTCCGGGAATTTGCGGGGTCTCCTCAATTTGATACGCTCCCTCGACGTTGATCCTTTGAATCGCGAATTTCAGCCCTTTTCTACCTGGAATTTTTTGAATTTACCGGCTTAGGCTAAGAATCCTTGTTTTCCTTCCACTAAAAATCCTCAAAAAAAGCGGCAAATTCAGAAAATTAAGTGGATAGAATGATGATTTACGACTGTTAAGCCAGAAATTTAAACTAAAATCGACCCAAAATGCTCTGAATATTACAAAAAAAAAAAACATTTTCAGATCCCAGCGATTCCAGTCGACATTGGATATCATGGTGGAAAGAATGTGGGCGGCGCACAACAGACCGGTGTGATGTCCAACGCTGCCAGCAATCCAGGTGTCATTCTTGGAATGGGCCTCACAACGGCAGCACTTTTAGGCATGTTCAAGTAAGTGGTTTTTCAAAAAAAAATCGAATTTTTGAAAAGCTCCAAAAATGGCTGAAAACCGAGAATCCAAAACTAGGTCATCACCACGTGGTTTTCACATGTCTCTAGTTTGATATTTTGATCTTTTGGTCGCTTGTCTTCGAGCAAAGAACAAATTATAAGGTACGTGCACACACCTGCTTTATGACCACAGCCACAGAGTCAATTAAATGGGCGGAGCCAGTGCACTTTCTGGGACGTTCGAGAACATTTAGGATTTATATGTCTACATATATAAAGGAAATTCTATATAGGTTATATACATTTCTTATCATTTTAACCTATGATTCTTTGGGGGTAGAGTGTAGTGTCTGCGTCTCTCATCTTTTCTAGATTGTCAATTAGATTATTCTATTTACTTTGAATTTTTTGGCGGGATTTTTTTTGAATTTCGGAACTTGAAATACTGAAAACTCTAGTAAATCTCAATTTTGAAAAAGTCGATTTTAAGGAGTTCATGTCTTTAAATCTTGTTAGGTTTTCAAGTACACTCTAACGACAGATTAATTCAAAATAATTCATTTTTCGCTCTCAAAAATATTTAAAATGTAATAGTATGCAACACCGCTCCAATCATAAAATCCTAGAATTTTCAATTCTGGCTCAAATTCAAAAAAAATCGTTGATTGAAAATTTGTTAAATTGAAATTAAAATTTAAAATTCTTCTAAATTCCACCTCCATTCTTTTTAGATCCTCATTCGTCGGAGACAAACTAGGCGCTCAAAAAATGATGCAATACCGTATTATGGCCCAATTCTTCACTGTCACCGCTCTAGTCGCCGGTGTGACCATCTTCGGTGCCACGTATGAAGACGAAGAGCATGCACAGAAATAGACCAAATTTGAATTTACCGCCAACCTCCCCATCCGATTAGTTGTTTTTTTTCTCCTTCATCCCTACACATGTACCTTCTTTGGACCTTTTTTCAGTCTGAAAGGACCCCTTTCAGGCCGAAATTTCTTCTTTTCTTTTTTGAATTCCCCGGGTTTTGTCATCTCGATTTTCTTCACCTATGGTTTTCCCCGTTTTCTTTTGCTTCTTGTTTTATCTCGTCTTTTCAATAAATCGCTTAAAATCTCTTTAAAATTCTTAAAACCTCAGAATGTTGTATAAAGTAGCATGGTTCATTGGTGTCGCACTGGTTTTTGTGGCGATTCGAAATACGAATCCGGAGAGAGAAATCCACGTGGATGGAGACGTTGCGAAGGAATGGAGCCACGTGGCAGATGTTTTTAAGTGAGGTTTTTGAAAATTTGAAGAGAAAATCGAAATTTGGAGATTCAGAAATTTCTAGAACATGGAAAAATTCAAAATTCGTCAAAATTTGAATTTATAATAGGTTCAGAAAAGGTAAAGTTCGAGATTTCTCATATTCTTCAGCTCTCATAGTTTGAATTCTAAAATTCTAAAAATCTAAAATTCTAAAATTCTGAGATTCTGAAATTCTGAGATTCTAAGATTCTTGGATTCTGAGATTCTTGGATTCTGAGATTCTGAGATTCTGAGGTTATGAGATTCTAAGTTTCTGTGATTCTGAGATTCTAAGATTCTAAGATTTTGAGGTTCTACGATTCTGAAACTAAGATTCTAAGATTCTAAGATTCTGAGATGATGAGATTCTGAGATTCTAAGATTCGAAGGTTCTAATATTCTGAATTTCGGAATTTCTGAAACCCCTCAGAAATTCGAAAATTCAAACATTCTGAAACTGAAAGTCTGAAAATCAAGACTTTAAAAATGTAGAAATCTGAAAAACCATAAATTTCGTATTTTAAAAGTTTAGAAATTTAAATTACGACATCTAATAATTAAAAATCATTAGAAAAGATAATAGTAAAAATTCGAACATTCTGAATTTTCAAGGCTCCGCCGCATTGTAAACTCTCATATAATGTTAAGTTTGAGCTGATTTTTCTTGGCTCCTGGGCAAGATATCATAAATGTGTCAACTGACAAAATGTTTGTAATATAGTGAAAAACAATTTATTAGTAGACAACTTTTAGATAGCTCTTACAGTAACCGGGATACTTTGGCTCCAAGTTGAAAGTTATGAGACCCTTCTATTACCTGTAACTGAAAAAAAAGTATCGAAACTTCAGGAAAAATCTAGAAGAAAACTGGGAGCGTTCGGGTGCCGCATTTGTAGTTTATCATAAAGGCCAAAAGGTAATCGATATTTGGGGCGGATATTCGGATCGAGAATCCCAAAGAAAATGGACAAGAGACACATTATCAGTTGCATTCTCTTGTTCAAAAGCGATTGGAGCAATTGTAATCGCTAAATTGGTGGATGAAGGAAGAATGGAATATGACGATTTGGTGACAAAATATTGGCCGGAATTTGGAAAAAATGGAAAGGCAAATGTAACAATTCGTTGGTTAATAACTCATAAGGCTGGTTTGGCATATACGGATCATCCGATTGAATGGGAAGATGCGATAGATTCGAAGAAAATTGATCGAATTTTGGCAGACCAAAAACCAAATTGGCCGCCGGGGACTGAGATAGGATATCATGCAGTGACACATGGATGGTTGGTGGATGCGATAGTTCGAAGAGTGGATCACAAAAAAAGAACTGTTGGACAATATTTTAGAGAGGAAATTGGACAGAAATTTGGTTGGTTTTTTTAGACTCAAATTTAAAAGAATGGAATTCGTATTTTATAAAAATAGAATCTAAACATGGGTTCTTGGAAATCCTAGATTCTCTTGAATCTCTTTATTCTAAAAATTAGGAAGTTCCAAAACTCCATGATTTAGAATTTCGAAAATAGGAACGCAGACATTTGAAAACTGAAAAATTCAAATGTTTCAAAAATTAAAATATTTTAGAAATTGAAAATTTGGAAATTCGGGAATCCAGAAAGCCAAAAAATTTGAAGAAAGTCGAAAATTCAAAAAATCTCAAAATCGCAGCATGTAAAAAATCGAAAGTTTAGAGATTCTGAAACTTGGAATCTCAAAATCATAAATTTCAAAATTATGAAATTCCTACAGTTAAATTTCAAAAGTCAGAAGTTCAGAATATCTAAACTTTAGAAATACAAATCCTCAAAACCTTCAAAAAATTTCAGAAGTTCAGAAATCCAGAAACTTAGAAATTTCGAATCATCGAAAGTTTAAAGTATCAAAACTGAAACTCTAGTGAGTTCCCAAAATTCTGAATTTAAGAAACTCTTTAATAATAAATTCAAAAATGTTCCAGGTCTGGACTTCCATCTCGGTCTTCCACTATCCGAACAACATAGGGTGGCTAGAATCGAAAATCCGAACTTCTGGAATGTTCTAGAAGAAATTGTCTATGCTCCAAGCGATTTCGATGTCATTCGATTTTTAAGAGACAGAATTACAAATGGAACGTTATCAAAAACAACAGCGAGTACCCCATTCATAAAGTTTGTAGGGGTGAGTGAATCTTTAAAAAGTTCTTCCATCAAAATTTGGATTCCTAGGCCATGACTCTCAATAATCCGGATCTTCATCGAATCGAGCAACCGGCAGTGTTGGGAATTGGAACCGCCCGTGCTTTGGCTGAAATTTTCGAACTTTTGAGACAAAACAAAATCGTGTCAGAGAATGTAAAACGACAAATGTTCTTTGAGAATTACGAGATGAGCGAAGACTTTATCAGTGGAGCAAAAGTGCCACGTGGCCAAGGATTCATGTTAAAAGAGTTCCAGCATCGAGGGGTGAGTGGGATCTTTGGTAAATAATTTGGAGGGTACAACAATTCGGAGGTACAAAATACCTGAAAAAAAGGCTTAGTTTGTACCCCCGAATTGTGAATTTGGTACCCCTAAATCACTTTGTACTCCCGTGTACCCCTGAATTGCTGTACCCTCCAAATTATGTGCCGGGATCTTTCTGTGTTTCCTGATATCCAATTGTCCATTTCAGAATCCAGTAAAAATGTACGGACACAGTGGTTATGGCGGACAGAATATTCGAACGGATTTCGATCACGAAATTACGATTTGTTATTTTAGTAACGGGTTGAAAGTTGGATTTGGGGACACTGCACGGACATATAAGAGACTATTGGAAGTGGTTTATGACACTTATTTTAAATTGGAGTGAATTACTCCGTAGTTGGAGTGATTGGAGTTATTTTATGGGATGTTAGAAAACAATGAATTATTTGGTTCTTTTTGAGTTATCTTCTGAACTTTACAAGTTAGTAATTAGCAATTATATAAAAATTGCTGGTCCTCCAGCGACGTCCTCCGTGCCTTAACGACGTGTGGTGGAGACATCCGTCTTCCTCATGTCATCAATCGAAGACCACCGGGGGATCGAACTCGTCCTTTCCATTCCCCCCGTGATCCCTCATCCTCACACGTTATCCTCTTGGCTACGGGGACGCTGAGCGGTGAAGGCATAGAAGACGTACAAGAATATATGGTCATCTGGAGGTGAAGGAGGTCCGGTAGACCGGATGGCGTGGAGAAGGAAAGAAGAAGGCTGAAAGTCAACAAAGATCTATCTACAGTACAATATGCTAACCTACTCAATTCACATGACCAAAAATCTTTCCAGAATCTTGAGAGTAACATCAAAAGAAATTGAGAACATCGGAAAGATTTGAAACGAAATTTAGATTTTTCACCTTTGAGAATCCTGGAGCTTTTTGTCTTGACCTGACAAGGGTGAAAATTTTCTGAAACTTTGGTAGGTTTCTCATAGATTTTCTAGGCTCCTAGGCTTCTAAATTAAAAAAAAACACAGACACTTCATTCATAAATAGTTACAGTATTCAAAGTTCACGAATTCAGCACGGTGCACTAGAAGGACTTGAGCTGACGAACACCTTGGACATATTCAATCCATCCGGAATGACACGATTGAATTTCACGTATGCGAATGGTGTCATTTCGTGACGACGACGAAGGAATGGGCGGACCCATCTAAAGTTAGAGATAATGAATTTCGGGATACATTGTTCAGTTTAAGCTCATTTTTCTCGGCTCCTTCACGAGATATCAAAAATGTGCTGACTGATAAAATATAGGTTACATTATGATAAACAATTTATCAGTAGACAACTTTTTCATACGTTCGACAGGAATCTAGATAAATTGGCTCAAACTAAGAAGTTAGGGGAGAGCCCTTCTATTACAGGTTTTACGGTAAGCTAGACTCACGTAGCACTACCCTCAAATTTGTCACTGCAGCGGACACGAATCTCTTTGAATCCCCCGTTCATCTCCCCCAAAATACTATGGAACATTGCTTGGGCCGCATTTTTAGTGTCAGAATAGATGGGACCAATCTCGCAGTTTCCAGAAGATTTGTCGAATGAAACTAGACCGATTCCAATGACTTTTCCAGACTTGTCATAGGCAACTCGGCCGATTCCGCCTTTGAATTTGGCAAGGAGCAATTCTTGGCGTTGGTATGGGAAAATGGTGTTGTCGTACTTGACGATGTCGTCAGCTGGGATATCTTGAAACTTCTGAAAGAATATCAGGATTCTGGGAATCCAGAAGTTCAGAATTTCGAAAAATTGGATATCGGGAATTACGAAATCTCATAAACTCATAAGTTAATACATTCAGAAACACAGGAATTCTAAAATTGGTTTTTCAGATTCTGAGATTCTAAGATCACGAGATTCCGAGATTCTGAGATTCCGCGAATCCGAGATTCCGAAAATCCGAGATTCCGAGATTCTGAAATTCTATTCCCACACCTTCACTGCCACGTCATCAAACTCCAATTCTGGATTGAAGACCTCATCAGAAGTGTAATCCGAGACATAATAAGTCGATCCACGAACTTTGGTATGCAAAACTTTTCGCCAGATTGCCGCATTTTTCGAGTCTTCAAATCTAAAATTATTAAAAAACCGAAAAGGGAGAGCTTGGGGGAAAAGACATCCTACCGACACATCCACCGGAATTCATTGATACTGAATTGAGATCTGCAGCCATTTCAGACATCAGATGGGGTAGAAAATTGAAAGTGTTCTCGTGTTGATAAAAGAGACCGAAAACTTGAAAATCGGGAGTTGATGGGTTGAGAGATTTGTAGATAATCGATTGAGTGCCAGAGACAACGGTGGAGTCTGGATAATTATTTTTTTGGGATTTCAAGGTTCCGGAAATCGAGTTGTAGAATTTTCAAAAAAAATTTCGATTAAAGAATTTCAGAATCCCAAAATGCCAGAATTTCAGAATCTCAGAATCTCAGCATCTCAGAATCTCAGAATCTCAAAATCTCAGATTCTCAGAATCTCAAAATCTCAGATTCTTAGAATCTGAGAATCTGAGAATCTCAAAATCTCAGAATCTCAGAATCTCAGAATCTCAAAAACTCAGAATCTCAGAATTTCAGAATTTCAGAATTTCAGAATTTCAGAATTTCAGAATTTCAGAATTTCAGAATTTCAGAATTTCAGAATTTCAGAATTTCAGAATTTCAGAATTTCAGAATTTCAGAATTTCAGAATTTCAGAATTTCAGAATTTCAGACTTTCAGAATTTCAGAATTTCAGAATTTCAGAATTTCAGAATTTCAGAATTTCAGAATTTCAGAATTTCAGAATTTCAGAATTTCAGAATTTCAGAATTTCAGAATTTCAGAATTTCAGAATTTCAGAATTTCAGAATTTCAGAATTTCAGAATCTCAGAATCTCCGAATCTCAGAATCACAGAATCTTAGAATTTCAGAATCTCTGAATCTCATAATCTCAGAATCTCAGAATATCAGAATCTCAGAATATCAGAATCTCAGAATCTCAGAATCTCAGAATCTCAGAATCTCAGAATCTCAGAATCACAGAATTTCAGAATCTCAGAATTTCGGAATCTCAGAATCTCAGAATCTCAGAATTTTAGAAACTTCGATATCTCACCTTTCTGACACAACAAATACAAATGATATCGCTCCTTCATTGTCTCCTTGAGCATCGGGATCTCATTCCCGCCATCTCTAACAACCAATTTTTGGAATTGCTCAATTTGAGAATCCGATGGATTCTTGACGACTTTCAGGTCCTTTGGAAGAACATTTTCGATCGAATAGCGACGAATTGCCATGTGGCAAAGTGCGGTGATTTTCGAGCGTTGTTGGAAGAGAGTGTTCATTTTTGTGGAAGCGAAAATGAAGTAATAAATGTTGGAATTTCAAAATTTTATGAAAATTTTAAATTTTAAAAGAAAAACGAAAAAAAGAACCAAAAGCACTGGGTCTTCAAAAGGCCTGGTCATTAATAGCGCCCCTTTTAGGTCAGTCGATAAGATGTTCAAAGTGGACGTGGTTACGTTTGATACTCAGCCAACAAAAGTTGCGCAGCGAAAGGTTCTCTGGGGCGCGATTTCTGACTAGGCCTTTTGGAACCCTGTTATGATGATTCACTCTGATTCGAAAATTCTTTTCCTGTACAAATCAGAAAAAGTCCACGAGAATGCGGATGCAAAAATATGAAGTGGGACAAAGAAAATATGAATTAAGAAGTCAATGGAGATGTTGAAAAATGCCAAGTTGACAGCCTCTTCGCAATTCCCTGAAAATGATTTGTTAAGATTTTGGTTTTGGAACTTTTTGGAGTTTTCATTTTATTAGGTTTCCAGAAAAAATTCACAGGGAACATGAAATGTCGATTTTTGGGAACTTAGAATACCACCCAATACTTTGACTTTGAGCTCAATTATCTCCGTTCCAATAACAGATATCAAAATTTTGTCAATTGGTAAACTGTTTATCATAAAATTATCAATATTTTACCAGTTGATAAATTTTTGATATCGTTCACAGAAATTGAGATAACTGAGTTTAAAGAGTGTAACCATAAAAACTGCAATACAGAATGCCCCTTCAGATCGTCAATTCCGAGCTTATGTATCTCAATTCCTGTAAAAGATATAGAAAATTTGCCAACTGATAAAATCTTTATCATAATAACACCAACACTTTATCTGTTAACAAATATTCAATACATTTCACAGGAAAAGAGATAATTGAGCTCAAAGTCGAAGCATAGGGTTGCCTTCTATTAGAGTGTTTACGGTAGTTTGGATTCGTGGGTTTCTGCAGATTATAATTATTCGGGGTTTCCTTTTTTTACTGGTATCAACTAGATAAGTACGGTGAAAAAAACGCCGGTGGAAATTGTTCAAGATCCTAACAGATCCTTGTAAGACGAAATCTATCGTAATCTGATGAAATTTGAAACATACCGTATTTGCTCTAATAGAAGTCCATCACCCTAAACGAGCACTTTGAGCGCAATTATCTTGGTTCTTATACGAGATAACAAAAATCTGTCAATTGATAAAAATCTTCTGGTAACATGATAAACAATTTATCAGTTGACAACTTTTCTATATCTTGTACAGGGGCCGAGATAATTGAGCTCAAAAAATGGCGTGCTTCTATAAGATAAAATAAAAGTAGTTGGAATTTTTGGGATTTTGAAAACCTATATTTTCGAACTTTCACCTTTGACATAGGAATCTAAATCCGTTCCATCCGGTAGTACTTCAGTTGTATTCGTTCCGATTCCCAGTTGACGGCCTTAAACATTCCGCACCTCAAAAACCAACCAATTGACACAACTCACAAGGTAAAACTGCCATTTTGGCGAACCAAATCTCCAACACATTTCCCAACATGTAACCAATGACGAACAACGCGCAAGCCACAACTGATAACTGGAATTTAGGTCAATCCTGGCCTAGAACATTTTCTAGGGCGTTATCTAGGACACCACCTACATTCATCCCAATCACATAACGCCACGTGGAATGTGTACGAAACAACATATCAACAATGACAAGGGAAAACAAGAGACACAGAAATCCAGTTAACACAGCTGTCAGCAAAAAATGAGTATTCGTGTCGTTCTCATAAAAGTGTTGCCCGAGATGTTTGAGCTAGAGAATAGATTTTAAGAAAATTCAGAAATTGAGATAATTACCATAATTGTCTTAACTATTAGGTGGCATATTGTTATCACTAAATAGAGAATAGGAAGATTTTTGACATGAAACGGAACGTATTTCTGCATCCTTCCTTGGAAAAATTCGTATGTTTGAGGTGAGTCAGGAGGCCTTTCGACATATAGAATATTGTTTCTTTTTGTTGTACTCGATGATGTTTTTTGTATTGAATTCATTTTTTCTATTCTTTCTTGTTGTAATATTTTTTATTGTCGACTGTAATTGCATAGAATTTCACTTCAGGAAATTCAAATTTCAAGATCAATTTCCCTTCCAACAACTTGCAAGCGGCTGTATAAACATAGAAATTATTTATATGTCAAATAAATAATTTTTCAATTTTCGCAATTCCCATTTTTTCAGGAAATCTTCATATTTTTCGCAGAAGAAGTTTGTGAAGAAATTAATGATTTCGTAAAGCAAAGTACGGTAGTCAAGGCGCACACCGCAAATTTTTATTGAAGCTTCGAAGGGAAAAGGCGCAAGCTTGAGGGTCTCGACACGACAAACACGTTTTACCGCGAAGTTTGATTCTGAAGGTTCCAAAGAGTTTTCTCGAACAAATGATCCGGATTTTGTCGGTTTTCTTGGCATTTCTTTCAGATTTTCAGCTTATTTATCTATGATTTTTTAAGTTTTTTTGTGTGTTAAAATCTGGCTCTCAGATTGTCAGGTGCCAGTTTTTCGACAAAAATTTTGCCCAAATTCTCATAAAAGCATTTTTATTTTCTTTTTCCCATAAATTCCCTATTTGTTTACTCTCACTAAGATGTCCGCAACTGTCGTATATTAGGTGTGTTGCGTACCAAATTGGAGGGAAATTTGATATTTTGGGCGCGCATTTGAACGCACCCTCAATAATTTTCTTTGATTCCAGCCTTTTCCAGGTGAGCTCATGACAAAAATCAAAGAATTTCTGCGAAAAAAGCAGAAATGTTACTATTTTGAATTTTTTTTTCTATTCAGAATTCCAGAACCGCTGCGAAAAAAGAACCTTATCACTCACTAAACCTGCTTAAAACCAGCGAAAACTAGGCGGTTTGGCATATAAAAAGAATAAAATATTCATCGCTTTTGTGTCGTCCTTCTTCCTCCTTTGTTCTTCTTCCATTTTTTTTGTGCTTTTCTTAGCTTGCTCGAGTTAGTGCAACTGAGCCTCTCCGTCCGGCCGGCCGGTCGTCCCTTCCAAAAGTCTCTTTTTCTCTATTTGCGCTTCTTTTTGACGCGTTGCGAAATCGCCGCTCGAAAAAAAAAGTGGAAAAATATGGACAAAAGTTCTGTTCGCCATTTCATGTGACCCCAATTACTCCCCCCTCGTCAAATCGATTTGTTTCGTCCCGGCGCTGTCGGGACGGAAGTTGTTGAAATCTTTGGTTCGGATCTCTCTACCTCGCCGTTGTCTGCTTCACTAATCCTCTCACAAATGTTCAACTTTCTCGCCTTGATGTTTAAAATATGTTTAAAAACTACATTGTTGTTTTTTTCTTGCAGAACTAAAAATGTCGAACTGGGATTATATCGACGAGGTCGATATCATTCCGAAGCTCCCACCCAATTTCGATGAGCTCCGCGAATCAAAAAAGTGGCAGGAGCGAAAGGAGGCATTGGAAGCGCTGTTGAAAGTTCTCACTGATAGTGAGCGTCTCTCCACGAAAGTCTCATATGCAGAGCTTATAGGAAATGTTCAGACTGTAAGAAAATCTAAAATTTAGCATGAAAAATAAAAGAAAATCCATTTTCCAGGTCCTCGCCAAAGATGCCAACATTAATTGTCAAGCGCTAGCTGCAAAGTGCATCGCCAAATTCGCCACTGGTCTTCGCACCAAGTTCTCCGCATTCGCCACACCGCTTCTACCAGTTATCTTCGACAAAATGAAAGAGAAGAAGCCAACACTCCGCGAGCCACTTGTCGAATGTGCCATGGAAGTGGGAAGAACGATGCCATCGTTGGAAGCAGGTCAAGAGGATATTCTAGCGGCGTTGGCCAAACCGAACCCACAAATTAAGCAGCAAACTGCGCTTTTTGTGGCCAAACAGTTGGATTTGGTGGTTCCTGCGAAGCAGCCAAAGGGATTTATCAAAGCTGCCGTGCCAGTTTTCGGAAAACTGACCGGAGACGCTGACCAGGATGTCAGAGAAGCTTCCCTTCAAGCACTCGGAGCTGTACAACGAATTATTGGTGATAAAAATGTGAAATCCCTTCTTGGCGACTTATCATCAGACGAAGGAAAGATGAAGAAGATAGGAGAATACGCTGACAAGTCTGCAGCATCTTACGCCGAAGAACAAGCCAAAAATGCGCCACCTCCAAGCAGCTCTGCATCAGCACCATCTGCAGCAGCAGCTTCGGGATCATCTGGAAATGTGACGTCAGCAGCAGTGACAACTGCAGAGCCGGCAGCTGAAGCAGATCCTTGGGATTTCCTCGACGCATTCGATGTGCTCTCCAAGATGCCCGAAGGGTTCGATACAAACATTGAGAGCAAGAAGTGGCAAGAGAGAAAAGAAGCGTTGGAAGGATTACAGCAATTGCTCACAGCGAATCCAAAACTCGATCCGAAAGCCAACTACGGAGCGTTGGTGGAGAGACTTCAGAAGGTTCTCGAGAAAGATGCCAACATCAATGTTGCAGCGTTGGCAGCCAATTGTATCACTGGAATTGCGAATGGTCTTCGCACAAAGTTCCAAGCTTTCGCCATCTCAGTAGCTCCAATCGTTTTCGAGAAATTCAAAGAGAAGAAGCCAACACTGCGTGATCCACTTGTCGCTTGCATTGATGCCGTTGTTGCTACATCGAACCTAGAAGCACTTGGAGAAATCGTGTTGACTGCGCTTGGCAAACCAAACCCAAGCATCAAGACCCAGACAGATCTCTTCTTGCAAAGAACCTTCATGAAACTCAACTCACAAACAATGCCGAAGAAGACGTTGAAAACACTAGTGCCACTTCTGATAAAACACTCTGGAGACTCGGATGCAGAAGTCAGAGATGCGTCGTACGCGGCAATGGGAGCCATGATGAGAGCTATCGGAGAGAAGCCATCACTTCAGTTGCTTGCCGATATTGTGACGGACAATTTGAAGATGGGAAAGATCAAGGAGTATCACCAGAAAGCGTTGGCCGAAGCTGGACCAGCTGAGATTGCAGCGATGGTTCAATCCATGCACAAAGCAGATGTAAGCATTTTTTGTCTTTTTTTTTTGCAATTCTCGCTTGTGTGCTTGTTGTGGTTGTGTAGTAGTGTTCGTGGTTTTCAGGCTCCACCGGCAGCTGCAGCTCCTCCCAAGAAGGCGGCTCCACCACCGAAGCGACAGGAATCGGAAGAGGAGCAAGTAGAAGAGGAAGAAGAGGTAAAAATGTTACGCCGTAAAAGTCGATATTGTAACCTTATTATAATTATTAGACTGTAAATTGAAAGTTACAAATGTGAATTCAATTTTTTGCAGCCTCTCAAACTTCCAGCCGGTGAGAAGAAGAAAGAGGAGAAAAAGAAGGCGGCACCCACAAAAGAGAACGCTGAGAACGAGCCACCGGTGGCACCAAAAACCGAGCTGCTGCTCAATGATAATGGAGAGAAGGCGCAGAGAATCAAGGAGGAGAAACAGTTGAAGCTGGTGAAGTGGAACTTCCAAACACCCACCGACGAACACATCGCTCAACTGCAAACGCTTCTTGGCAACCAGGCGAAGGTCTCCCTCATGAGTCAGCTATTCCACAAGGACTTCAAGCAACATCTCGCCGCTCTCGACACTCTCATTCGTCTGGCAGATACCGCTCCTCGATCTCTTCTTGCTAACAGTGATCTCTTGTTGAAATGGTGCACATTGCGATTCTTCGAGACCAATCCAGCTGCATTGATCAAAGTATTGGAGTTGTGTCGGGTGCTCGTCGAATTGACTCGTGATACGGAGACTCCGATGTCACAAGAGGAATTGACCGCCTTCGTGCCTTATCTTCTTCTGAAGACTGGAGAGGCGAAAGAGAATATGAGAACTGCAGTCAGAGACATTATCAATGTTCTATCCGACATCGTTGGCCCATTAAAAATGACACCAATGCTTCTAGATGCTCTCAAGTCAAAGAATGCACGTCAAAGATCTGAATGTCTTCTTGTCATCGAGTCATACATCTCTAGTTCCGGAATTAGTCCATTGAAATCTCTCACTGTTGAGAAAATCGTTGCTCCTTTCGTTGGTGATAAGGATGTCAATGTTAGAAATGCTGCGATCAATGTGCTGGTTGCATGCTTCAAGTTCGAAGGAGATCAAATGTGGAAGGCGGCTGGAAGAATGGCGGATAAAGATAAGTCGCTGGTCGAGGAGAGAATAAAGAGATCCGGAGTGAAAGCTGGAAGTGGAGTTGCCACGTCACCACCAAACGGAGGACCGAAGATTGTGGTCCCTCAGCAGCAACAGTCAGTTGTTCGTCGACCAGCTTCTCGTTCGAGAACTCGTGAACCAGAGCCAGAGGATGACTATCAGGATCAGCGTGCGATAGCGAATAGCACCTTCACAAAAGGCAACTCATCATCTCGCTATGCTCTTCGTGACGACGTCTTCGCAACTGCTATCAATCGCTTGGCGGACAGCACCTACGTCGTTACCCCACCTCAACCTCCGAGCGCGTGGGCGAATAACACATTCCAGATGAAGCGAACCAATTCCTCGTCTTCGATTTCTTCCATCGACACCTCGGATCAGATCCAACGAAGCATCAACAACATCTCCAGCAGTCTGGCTGACGTCGCACAGGATGCTATGTATCAGGTCACCTATGTCTTGAATCAACCTGAACAACGTCATCTTGTGGATAGAAAGGCCGATATGGTGTTCAGAGCATCGGCGGCTCAGTTGGATATGATTATTGATGAGTTCAAGGCGGGAAAGGATGTCACTGGAACAATGGATGCTTGCTCTCAAATGCTTTTTATTGTGAGTTTTGTAACCAGAGTTTTGTTCTAATCATTCAAATTTCCAGCTTATGGGCGGAGTCGAGGCGGAACACGGCTTGGAGCCTCTCAATGCCTCCCCAGAGACCGTCAAAGCTATCATCTCTTCAGTGCTCCGTTGCATTACCCAAATCGGAAGCACTGACGCCGGCTACACAATGGCTCGTTCATTGAATCGTCTGGCGATGCGTCTAGTGTATCGAGTTGAGCTTTCCAACCTTCTTTGTGGCCTTATCCTTGCGATGATCGAATCCATTCAACTCAATTCTGGGATCACGGATCTCGTTTCGAAGCTTTCATCGAAGTGGTGTGACGAGCTGGAAAAGAGAAGAGCGCAGTTGAGAGCATCGGATATCGTGGACGTCTTCAATCAGTTCTACATTTGTACTCTTACCGAACAGAAAATGGATATTACCCATATCCATATTCAAGTGGTGGATAACTACTTGGAACGGGTCATTCTTCAACAGGGAGACGTGGTTCTGGACGCTGCTCGACGACTCTCTTCTCCACACATTCATCTGACACGGATGATCAATAAAATTCTGCAAATGATGAAAGAGCAGAATATCGATCCAATCATGCCGGGAACACTAGATGCTCGTGCTCCAGACGAGGAAGAAGCTGTCGTAGTGAGAACTGGCGTTCAAGTGTGCGTCAACAACATCCTTCGAGATCTGAAGAACGTATCAACCTACAACGAACAGCTCAATAAACTCGTACAATCTAGTGATAAGTGTCGCAACGAGTACTCAGAATTGGTGAAGAATCATGCGCTTGGTGAGGCTGTCGAGGAGCTCGTGTCGGAGCAAACCATTCATGGAGCACCGAATTTCAACAAGCCAGATGTGGTGAACGCGATGACAATGACATGGAAAGCGCTGGATCTTTTGGGGCCAACGAGAGCCGAAACACCAACGACGCCACCCCAGAATTTGAGTAGAATGGACACAACTATTGTGTAAGTTTAGCTCCCAAAAGTCTTTCAGTAAGAGGGTTTTTTTTCTACAAAATCGTTTCAGCGGTACACCACTATCGCGTGCTGAAGGTGCTGGAACTATCACCCGGGCTCGCGGAAACATCATGCGCCCGAAACAACGTCCAACGATGAGCCGAGAACAACACGAGGAGCTCAGGAACCGTCTTCAACAAGCAAAGTTCGGACAATAAATCCCATTTCCTCGCTCGCTCGTTTTCAAATGTTCTGCATAATCCTCTCCTCTCCCTTATTATTACTGGTAAACCTAGGCTCGATTCCTTTTTTTCTCACTCCCTACAACACCGTATTTTCCTGTGAATAATAAATTTTATCATTTATTCAAGTGGTCAGTCCCTTTTTCTTCGTCTCTAACTTATGTATGCACCCACTTTTGCTTCTTTTTAGAACTCATTTCGTGATTAAATGAAAATTTTCATTGCTTTAAAAAGGGTTTTCATCTGTTTTTCTTGTTGTTTCTTTTTAGAAGCAGTTGCCAGCTCACTAAAAATTCTGTGTAATCTGCTGTCTTGGTGTACCTTTACTCTGCTGCGTACAATGCGCAAGATCTGACGACAGTTGCCATTCACCAAAAATAAATTTCCTTTTTTCTCCTTTTTTCCTTAAAGTTCCATAGTTTCTATGTGTTTTCAGCGAAATGCCAACTGTGGGAATCAAGAAAGTCATCCTCGACAAACACTTCAATCGGAATTATAGTAAGTTTTAGGGGTAGAAATTGCGAAAGAAAAAAAAATTGCAAAACGCTTTTTTTTCAGCCGAGAAGGAGTTCGACGAGCTTTGCTTCGAATATGGACTCGAACTAGATGAAATTGTGAGTAATTTGTATCGCGGAGACATTTTTCAACTATTTTACTATAAATTCTAGAAACTTCTCAAAATTCCTTATCTGAAAATCATTTTTTCCAGACTTCCGAGAAGGCCGCCGTCGAGAAAGAGAGAGGAACCGATGCCGCTGTTGATTTGAACGATCAGGAAGTCTACAAAATCGATATTCCAGCCAATCGTTATGACTTGCTCAGCGTGGAAGGATTGGCTCGTGCCATTCGAATCTTCAAGCAAGAAATCCCATCTCCTCAATACAAATTCGCCGACGTTCCGAAATCTGGTCTCCAGAAGATTATCGTGAAGAAAGAGACTGCGCAAGTTCGTCCGTTCGTCGTCGGCGCCGTCCTTCGCAACATCTCATTCGACGCCGATAGCTACGCGTCGTTCATCGATCTCCAGGACAAACTTCATCAGAATATCTGCAGAAAGCGTACTCTCGTTGCCATCGGAACGCATGACTTGGACACTGTTCAAGGACCGTTCGAGTATCGTGCCGAGGCACCGAAAGATATCAAGTTCAAGCCATTGAACCAAACGAAAGAGTACACTGCTGAAGAGTTGATGACCTTGTATTCAAGTGATAGTCATTTGAAGGCATACCTTCCAATTATCCAAAACCATCCAGTCTATCCAGTTATCTATGATAAGAATGGTGTCGTTTGCTCCATGCCACCAATCATCAACGGAGAACATTCCAAGATCACTTTGAACACCAAGAACGTCTTCATCGAGGCGACAGCTACTGACAAGCAGAAGGCCTTCGTGGTTCTTGACACAATCGTGACCCTTTTCTCTCAATACTGCGCCAAACCATTCACCGTTGAGCAAGTTGAAGTTGTCTATGAAGAGACTGGAGTCAAGGAGGTGTATCCACTGCTCGCCTATCGTGAGATGACCGTGACGACGCCAGAAATCAACACAAAAATTGGAATTCAGTTGAAGGAAGAAGAGATGGCCACGCTTCTCAACAAGATGTCGTTGAAGGCAGAAGTTGTGGGAAAGGAGACGTTGAAGGTGGTGGTGCCACCCACCCGTCACGATATTCTTCACGCTTGTGATGTTGCAGAAGACGTTGGAGTTGCTTATGGGTACAATAATTTGGTTACAAGACTTCCAGAGGTTTGTTCAGTTCTTGGGAGAGCCCCTAATTCTCTTAAAAATGACCTATTTTCAGTCCAACACCGTTGCCGTCGCCTTCCCTATCAACAAGCTCTGCGACAATCTTCGTATCGAAATCGCCGCTGCCGGCTGGACAGAAGCCCTGAATTTCGCTCTCTGCAGTCGTGACGACATCTCCACGAAGCTCCGTCAGCCAGAAGCTCTCTCTCATGCTGTGCATATCGGAAATCCAAAAACCCTAGAATTCCAAGTGGCTCGTACCTCTCTTCTCCCTGGCCTTCTGAAGACGTTGGCTTCCAACCGTGATATGCCACTTCCGCTGAAACTTTTCGAGCTTCAAGATGTGATTGTGAAGGATTCGACGATGGATGTGGGAGCTAGAAACGAGAGACGTCTGGCTGCAGTTTACTATAACAAGGCTGCCGGTTTTGAGATTATTCAAGGATTCTTGGATCGAATGATGCGGATGTTGAATGTCAACCCGGCTAAGGCTGATAACGGATACTATATTGAGGCAGACGAGAACCCGACTTATTTCCCAGGAAGATGTGCAAAGATCATTGGCCCAAAGGGAGTGGTTCTCGGACACATCGGAGCACTTCACCCAGAAGTTATCACATCGTTCGGACTCACTTTGCCATGTGGAGCCGTTGAATTCAACGTCGAACCATTCCTTTAAATTTTTTCTGCTTTTTGGTTGTTTTTGGAGCTTTTCCTTTTTGTTTTAAGAGTTTTGTTATGCCTTCTTTTAAAATATTATCATATTTAATAAGATTTTCGGTGTCTTCAAGATGTATTTATGTTGTAAACTTCTTGGTTGCTTCTTCCAATCCTATTCCTAAATATTCCTCTTTCAAAGCTTAAGCTTAAGCTTCTCATATTCCTAAATCTCACTTTTTAGATGCTCGCCGATTGCCTTTTAATCATTGGCATCGCGTTCGGCACAGCTCTCGCCGGAGAGGGAATCACATGGCTCCTCGTCTACAGATCGGATCAGTACAAGCGACTCAAGGCCGACATGGACAAGAAAACGAAGAAATTGGAGAAGAAGAAGCAGGAAGTGGGAGATACGAATGATAAGAACATCAAGAAGAAGTTGGAAAGAGAAGAGGAGAAGCTGAAGGCGACGAATCGGGATATGAGCATGTTCAAGATGAAGTCAATGTTCGCTATTGGTCTCGCGTTCACAGCGCTTCTCTCTACGTTCAACTCGATTTTCGATGGGCGTGTTGTTGCCAAACTTCCGTTTTATCCAATCGGTTTTATTCAGGGACTCTCGCATAGAAACTTGGTAAGGCTAGCAGACCTAAAGTATCGGTCATTAAGATACCGAAAACCTGTATTAGAAGATGCCCTTCTATTAGAGGGGCACTTCTAATAAAGGTTTTACGGCATACAAAACCCTATATTTCAGTCGATTTTCGGCCATATTTGATCATTTTCAAGAATCGGGAGCTCGGCTATCAAGTGTCCGATCACTTTGAAGATTGTGGAAGATATAAAGAAGATCTAGATTGGAAACTTTGCATTCACATAATTTTTTGAAAATGTCTAGTTTTTCAGAACTTTCTTGGCCAATCTTTGATGATTTTTGAGTCGCTTTCCATTGTTTTAAAGCCACTTTTTCGAATTTTCGCGCTCATTTCTGAGAGTTTTTGGACCATTTTCTTCAATTTTTGAGACAAATTGTGATGGTGATTAGATCGTTTTTCAGCATTTCAAAATCAATTTCTCAAAAGTTTTAGATCGTTTTTCAGAATTTTCGATTTTTTTCCAAGCAATTGATACGTCGAAAATCCTGAAAAAGGACCTAAAACTTCTGAGAAAATGCTGAAAATAATCTGAAAGCCATCGAAAGTTGTCTCAAAAAAATAGAAAAAAAACTGTTAGAAATAGACTCGAAAACTCTGAAAAATGGCTTTAAAACAATGAAAAGCATCTCAAAAATCATCAAAAATTGGCCACAAAGGTTCTGAATAACTAGGAATTTTCACAAAATTCTGTAAATACAAAGTTTTCAATTTAGGTCTGTTTTACAACCTCCGAATTTTTCAAAATGATCGGCAACTTGACAGCCGAGCTCCAGACCCCTGAGAATGGTTGAAATGGCCGAAAATCAATTGAAAAATACGTTTTTTGAGTATCTTATTGACCGGTACTGTATCTGGCTCTCTTTTATTCCAATTCGTGCTCTTTCCACAACCTATGACTCTTCAGATCGGCGACGACATGACCGACTGCTCCTTCATCTTCCTCTACATCCTCTGCACCATGACCGTTCGCCAGAACCTTCAGAAGATCCTCGGATTCGCCCCGTCTCGTGCCATGGCTCGTCAACAATCGTCTCCATGGGCGCCACCATCCTCCCAAATGAACTATCTTCGTTAATTAATAATTAATTACCCCTTTAATTTATTGTTTGCCATCATCTCTCCCTTCCCCAAAAAAAATCACCATTCTTGTAGTCTTTCCTACTTCAGTGCTTAATCATGTCTTTTTTTTATCTCTATACGATATTCGAATTTTTCAAAGCTACAAAGCTGTTGTGATAGTTTTAATATGATAATAAGTAAATTTCTAGATCATTTTGATTTATTCAATTCGTATGAAATGTGGATTTTGACCTACAAAATTATATCTTCAAGCGCCAATTTTTTATTGTTTTCTCGCATTTTTTCCGAATTTTTTTTCGAAATTTCAGCATTTTTTCCAGGCTTTTTTTTTGAGTTTTCAGCATTTTTTGCAATTAAAATTTTTGCAAGTTTTCAGAATGAGTGACAATGAAGAGAAGCCATCTCGCAAACGTCCCGTTACACCTCCAAAGTCTATCCCAATCCCAGGCGCCCAAGAGCCAAGCTCCGCCCCCTCTCTCCCACCATGGGTCGCCGGTGGCTCTCCGGCCAAATTCGTGACACACGACGAGCTTATGAAAATCACAAATGACATGGAGAACATGGAGCTGGTCCACGAGATCGCCATCGATCCGAACTTTCAGATTCCCGATAAGCCGACAAACGCGATTCAGAATTGTGTACGGGAATCGATGCACCGCGCGTATTACAATCAATTGCGACGTGACTTGGCTAAAGATCCGCCAGAGCTCGAGTTTTGTTTCGGGTTTCTCATGGAGCTGAAAATCGTGCGTTTTTTCTTTCACAAGCTCCGCCCAGGAGGTTCGGAATGACTTGACGGAATTTTTGAAATTTTCAGAATCTCAAAATGTTCTCGATTTTTGAAAATTCAGAAATCTCGAAAATTCCGATTTTGAATTTTTCGAAGTTTCGGAATTTTCCGATTTTGGAAAATTCGGATTTTCGGAATTTTCCGATGCTTAAAATTTCGAAATTTTCCTATTTTCGAAAATTCCGAATTTCCCGATTTGGAAATTTCCGATTTTTCGGAATTTTCCGATTTTGAAATATTCGAAATTTTGGAATATTCCGATTTTGACATTTTTGGAATTTCGAAAATTTCGGAATTCTATCATTTTTGAAAATTTCGAACTTTCAGAATTTTCCGATTCTTGAAATTTCGGTATTTCGGAATATTCCGATTTTGAATTTTTGAATTTCATTCCGAAAGTGGTAGGAATTTTCAGAATTCCTGTCCAAACATCCTTGGCTCCGCCCATAAGCTCCGCCCGCAAACATCACATTTCTATAATTTTCAGATGATCCTCGACGACATTCTGACCGCTCAACACACTCGCCTGAAAGCCGAGATCAACTCGATGCTCGACGAGCCAACGCTACGTGGAAAAATGGAGGCTGGTCAGCTGGAAATCGATAAAGTGATGAAGTACATCATCGATTTGTGCTCCAGACTCTGCTCACCGGGTAGAGACGGGCTTGTGGCGGCGCTCAGAGAGAAAACGGATATTATTGATCTGTTTCAGTAAGCCTCTTACTTTCTCAGGAATTATTTTTCAATTTCTCGGTTTCCAGAGGCACTATGGACCTTCTGGAGCTCATGAAAAACGACCTGACCAACTATCAAATCTCGCAAAACCGCTCGGCTATTGAGGAGTACTCAGCGAAGCACGAATACAAAATGTTCCAAAAGTCACTGGCTGAGAATCCGAATGGCTGCAATTTCACGCGGCAATGGCTGAAAATCGCTTATGAGGAGTTGTTCACAGATAAAGATTCAGAAGAGGGGACGTCTTCGAAGAAGGAGAAGCCCGCTGACGATCCAGAGAATGAGAAGTATCTTGTGGACACGACTAGTAGAGGATATGTGAAGTTGGTGCAAGTCGATGAGTATTCTGACTTCCCGGAGACGCTGAAAATTGATCGCCTGAAAATCGAGCTGCTCGCCGAGAAGTTTCTGCAGATTGTGATGTGCGCGTCGGCGGTGTTTGTCACTTGCAACGTGGCAGGACGGCAGATTTCGGAGAGCGATGGGTTCAAGAAGACGTTGAAGGATCATTTGGTGGCGATTACCAATAATACGGATGAGGAGTAAGGATTTTTTTTTCGGGGTCTGAGAATGTGAGATTCGGGAAAAAAGTCTCGGTGTTTGCACACTTTTACCTAAAGTAATCCTCGCGAAAATTTTCAATTTTTTGGTCCTTCCGACTTTCGAAATTCGTTCAAAAAAACCGCTCCGAAAAACGATAAATTTCACTGAATTTCGGAAAAAAAAACCATTTTTCCGCAACACACGAGTCTTGGTGTTTGCAGATTTTTACCGACAGTAACCCTCACAAAAAAATTTTCGCCTGGATTTAAAGATTGTTCCTTTTCAGACGAATCAAAGCAGATCTGGAAAAAATCGGCGAACAGTGTGTCAAGGAAGCCAGCGATACCGCCGTGACACTGAAATTAGACTGGAATCCAGGCAATTCGGTATCGATTCGAAACCAGATCAACGCCCTGATCAATCTCGACAACCCAATCCGGAAGCTGGTCCATTCTCGAGTCGCCACGTTCGTCGAGGAGATGCTTCGCAGTCCAACATCGGTTCCTCATCGTCTTCTTCCCGGACTCTCAGTGATCCAATCCGAACTTTGTGCCTTTACTTCAAAGTAAGGGACCGCGAAATTCGAATAAAACATCCATTTTGAAAAATTCCAGATTCCTCCGTCTCTGTGTCCACAATCGGAAGACGTTCTACACTCTCTACTCAAGCCTCATTCTCGAATTCCAAGGCCACGCTCCCTCAACCCACGCCGTCTACCACGCCGACAGCCCTTCGTCAATGCCGGGACCCTCTTCTTCACAACCAGGGCCCAGTTCATCATTCTGAAGCTTTTAAAATTTCTAAAACTGAAAAATCTCGCTATGTAACATAATTCGGTATATTATTATTTATATAATTTATTTCGGTGGCATAAAAAGTATGATTGTATTCTCAGCACGCTTGACAACTCTTCTGACAGTACGTCCTTCGCTCCTCCATAGTGTAGTATGTCGAATGGCAGAAGCCGTTGCGAGCCCAGATTGGGCAGCTGCAATTATTGATTTTTATCGATTTTTTGAATTTCAAGAAATCTCAAATTTGTACCTTCTGAATGCGTCCCGACAACGAGCGGCATGCGGTAATCTAGCGAATTGTGGACAGAAATTACAGGTTTTGGCGCATTTCCGCATCATTATCTGGAAATTTCGATTTTTTGTCTGTCTGTGTGTCCGGATGTCCGGATTACCGCCTTGTACGCTTCTTTTGTGCACAATGGTTTGACTCTGGCGCATTTTTTTGAAATATCGTAGCAATTTGTTGGTGCAGAAGGTGTTGTTAAAGGATTTTTGGTGGTTGAAGGAGGTTTAGAAGTTGTTGATGATGTGGAAGACGTGGAAGAAGTCGTCGTACTTTCAGAAACTAACACTTCATCTGAAAACATTTTTTGTTTTTATGAAATAGCCCCTCGCCACCACGCGCTTTCAAAACGTTCTTATACGGCATACACCATTGAACCTTTTAGTGTGCACTTGGCGCAGGTGGATACAGCCTTTGCTGCCACCAGAGAGTGCGCGGGTTCCAAACTTCTTGTGGTTTAATCTTTTTTTTTTTCATAACTCACCAGTATCTCCGGAGCCTTCATCGACTTGTTCTAGAGCATGATTCTTCAAAAACTGCTCTTCCCGAAAAGTGGATTCCCAGTTTATAGAATCAACGGTGACCGATGAAACCAGAAAAACCAGAAGAATCGAATATTTCATGGTTTTTGAGAGGAGAACACAAAAACCCAATTTAGGTCGTTTTTGAAAAAATAGCTTATATAGAGCCAGTTACCTCATGTGTTCTTTCGCTTGTTTATTTGATATTTGGAGGGGAACTGTACAAAAATTTTTAGAGGGATGACCGACTAAAAAAATTGGATAATAAACAAAACAAGGGAGATATGTTATTGAGCTAGGTACGGAATTTTAAAGTCAAGCCTGGCTATTTTTATTTGGTAGAAAATAGAAAATCGCACAGATATTCGAATTTCTGAATTTTAGATTTTTGGAATTTCAGAATCTCAGAATTTCTGATTTTCTGAATTTCCAAACTTTCGAACTTCCACAAACGAATTTGTACACCTCCGAAATTCTGAAATTCTGAAGTCCCTAATTTCTGAAAAAAACTTTTGGAATTCTGAATTTTCGAATTACTGAATATCTGAATTTTTGAATTTCAGAATGTGCGTCTGTCTGAGCTTCTGAAACCCAAAATTCGAAAATTGCATACTTGTAATCCGGGCCTTGGCCGGGCTTTCGCGGGCCCTGGCATAGTTTCTCTCCGAGTCAATATTTATATTTATTTAAAGTCATCGACGAAATAGAACGAAAAAGGAGGCCCGGTCCGGGCAAGGCC